CCCAAATCCAGCATAGAAAGTGAGAATTACATTACGTTTGTATAGTAGTAATCTGGGTTTGTTAGAACATTTGTATAGAGATGAGTTAAGTTTTCTCAAGATCAATAGTTTATATTCGAATGTGTATGGTTATTGTACCATTTTATCTTGGATTCTATTTAACTTGCCTTTTTTCCCCTCTTTGTTAATTTGAGGTTTTGGTACTGAGGGACAGACAACACTCAATTTGACACTCTTTTGTTTAAGACACTTTTCATATGTGAAAGAAACTATAATTCCCAACTTCTGCAAACTAGTAAATAATCTTTTAATATATTTATTATGTAATATGGTGCCAAATCATTCCAAAAGGGTTGCTTGTGTTTTCCCAGCTTGTTTGATTAAGTTGCTAAGTTGAACTTTAAAATTCCATGAATATTTTTGCTAAAAGCCAACCTGATTTAAAATAGGGAATTTCTTCTTTCTGAATTTCCTAACAATACAGAAAGGAAAATGGCCATACTATTACATGGGAACAGGCCATGAATTATATTTCCACAGCACAGGATTAACTCCTTTAGTACCAGTCTTAGGTCAGTAGTGTGTACATTACTCATGGAGGTATATTTATTGTTCTACCACCAATAGTCACATATTAGGATGGACATTACTATATTGTGTTGCTGAAAATTTTATAATAAATCAAGAATAATTAATAAATATATAAATACTGGAATCCTTGTGGTCTAATATGTTGTTACACTCAGAAATGTATATCATATCTTATACTTGCTTTTTCTCTCTCCAAATAAAACCAACAATTATTATCTGTCTAATTAATTCACCATGAATACAATATTGCATGGGCCATTATTTTTTCATTATCTGATAATATTGACCTGGGCCACCAAATTATACCTAGTAGTATTAGTGATGATATAAAGCCCTTATGTTGTAAGGGATATATGACCAAGATTTTCCATTTACTAGGTATTATCAGGGGCAATGAGTTTTTGAGTGAGAATAGGCTTTTAGCATACTGTTCTTATCAGATAAAAAGTTTATTGAATTTCTGCAAAAAATGCTGAATTACATATAATGATTACTCTGCTTATTTTAAAAATTAGGTGGTGTTTTCTTTTAGGTCATTATTTTGAATCATTGTATTTT